ATACACTTACCGCATATACTTACCATCTCTCTTCCTTTTATCTTTCCCGCCGCGTCGTCGCTCCCGTTGTATCTTCTTCTCGCACGCAAAAATATTTTATCATACTTTTTTTTTATTTAATGCTTTAAATAAAGAGAAATTAATACGATCATAACCATCCGTCGCGGTACCATCGAGCGCAAAGATGGCGGAGCGCGTAATATGATAGCGCTGCGATAATAAGAAAGGAATGAATAATGTCATACACTCAGATATATAGTTTAAATATGCGTTTATTTTTATATATAACGTCATTTTACAATATATATGTAGTTCTTACAATATTTATAAGCAGGAACTTTAATTTAATTTAATTTAGTTAATTTTAAATTGAATTTTAAGCACCTGCTTCCGATTAGCAATAAAATGTACATTTACTTTTCACACTGTTTACAATATTATCTAAAGCATAAACTATTAACTCACACTTTATATTTGATTTTTTATTATAAATTTTGATTTCAGATTTTACAAAAAATCACAGCATCACATTTATCAATGATACATTTTTTATCTAAAATATATATTTGTTACAAAATATTTAAATTTTTCATTGACGATGCGTATACTGGTACAGTTCAGAATATACATTCTCGATGCAATGTTTGAGTTTGAATATGAAAATCACGGTTGACGGTTTCATATACAGACATGTTTCCCGCAGTGTTAATTTGACCACATTCATATCACGCATTTTTACGATTTCTATCACAAGAACTTAGATAATGATGAAGGTGCGATTGATTGCATGAACCGTTCATATCCGCGTGTCTTTCGATGAAAGCCTATCACATTGCACGAGGTAAGATTACGTTGTTACCTCGGTTGTCGCCAATTGCAATTTCCACAAAAGACACAGGTCCCACGACGATTCCGACATCCAGATTTTTTCTATATATAATAGAAAAAAGGGAAAACAGATAAACAAATTGTAGAGAAAAAGTATAAAAAAAAATTTATAAAATAAAAATTTACTGTTTATAAAATTCTTCATCTTGAATAGGAAGATAAAATTTCATGGAATCGTACATGCTTGGAAAGCGTTGCAGTAGCGGTCCGTCTGAACGACTGATGCATTGTCCAAGATCTTTCTAATAGCGTTTTCTCTTGGGATATACTGGAGTATAACCTAGTTGCGTGTAAGTGCTGCGTCAATGCTGCACTACAAAAATGTACATACACCATAGTGTACACTACTTTATGCTATCGTGTTTAATTCTGCTGCTGATTGATTTCCATTTTCAAATTTTTAATGTCACACTGGCTCTACACCGCCTCTTTGAGATCGTATAGAGCAAAACCCCACTTCGTGTATAAAATTTGCACTATACTATAGCCATAGAACACGTTACACTGAATGAGTTCACTTACCACCAGCCAAGGAAACGCTCTTACACTTTGTGGGCGATAGTGTTGCCAAGAGAAAACGTTATAAGTTTCGTTCCCTCTATCACATTTCTTCGGAAATGCATATGGTATTGTTCAACCGACACAAGCGAGAGATAAAAAATGCAAGCGCCGATATACGACAGCTTTGTTAGAGTAATAAAAGATTTTTTTTAAGGACATTCGACATGTTAATATGATATATTTCACGATGACATTATGAATGTAATTTTGATACATTGCGATGTTACCAAATAGTATGCATAATGATATAAAATTTAAAGATCGAGATGCAGTGCGACGTTGTTAAACAATGCGCATAATGATATATGTCCCGTCTGTTGTAGTCCTATACTTATCATAGTATTCACGCTCTCTTTTCTTTCCGTTATATTCTTTCCCACGTTCTCTTTTCTTGCTCACAATTTTATTAAATAAATATAGTATTTGTTTTATGACTTTTTAATGATATGACTTAGCAATGATTTTAATTTAACTAATTATAATAATATTTTTAGTGACGTAATATAATACAAATAGCTGAGTGTTCCTAATTATCAAACCATTAGAAACTATTATTGAGTAGCTATCGAATACTTATTGTACTACGTCGTACTACTGAACAGCTATCATATTATTAATTAATTCTAAAAAAACTATAGAGAAAAAAGATTCTTTTTCACTCGCGGTAAAAAGAAACAGGAATATGCAGGTTTCAAAGTTACGTGACAAGCAGATGATGTCATAGAAGGGAGCGAAAAAAATATTTTAGAATTGTGGAGGAAACCCAGAAAGAAATAGAAATTAGAATTATAATTTCTTATTATTCAATTTTTATTTTAATAATTTGATTAACTTATTTAAGAAAAAAATTGCGCGCCTTTTTATCATATATAATTGTAAACCACTGAATAGAGGCAGAGAAAAAGGAGACTGAAAATAATTTAAAAAATTCAGTAATATATTTAAATATCATATTATACATTTTTTTACAAAATATTAATTTATTTCTTACTTTAAATGTAACGCAATGTATACAATTTCACCTGAAACGCACATTACTAATTCACACTCCATGAAGTTTCGTCATAAACTTCACGCAATCTTTTAATGCATCACATTTATTGTTAATACAGTTTTGGCATATAGTAGTCATAAATTGTTGAAATGTATTCTCTCGCAGGCGATTTTATTAAAAAGATATAGTATTTATTTTACAACTTTTATGATGCGATTTTACAATAGAATAATATGAGCACAATTTTAATAATATTTTAATGGTATAAGTCGATCAGCCGGACGAACTTTCTTATTAAATAATTTAATATTACGAAGATATGAAGAAAGAATGAAGAAATGAGGGAAAAGATAAATTTTCAAAGAAATATATTTAATATTTAATTCAACATGTACAATATAATTTAAACCATAGACTATTAGTTCACATTCTATAATAGAATTTTTATGATAAATTTTGTGCCAAAAATTTTTTTTGTGCCATAAATTTGTTTGCAGTATCGCGTTTATTAGTAATATAATTTGTCTTAAAAATGATACAAAATATTTGAATTTTTCACTAACACCATGCATATATTGATTCAGTTTATAGCACGCATGCTCGACACATTTCTCGAGCTCAAATAAGAAGAGTTGGTTTCATGTACAAGCATGCACTATACAATGACAATTTTACATATCACATACTTTAACAAGTTCTATATTCAGATCTTAAATCAATGATGATGATGGGACATTAACTGCATTAATCGCTCAATATCTGCACATTTCTCGAAACGTCTTTCTACATATATATGAACATACGTATGTATAAACATATGTATATACGTATATTCAATATTGTGTATTTTATTTTTTTGCGGAGCACTGAATCTCTTAGACGTTCTCTCTCGCATCTGAGTCGTCTCTCAGCCTTCCCGCACTGCTATTGTATGCTACCGATTTACTACTTGTCCACTACTATTGTATTCAGTCTTGCATTCAATTTTCAATATTAATGTATCTTAAATTTATGCTACGTCATGTTACGTTTTTATATTTTGTAATGCAACTTTCGTACTGTATTGTAAATTTATGTTTTATATTCGCGTTTTTTATACTGTAATTCTTTACTCTCATTTTCTGGTAGGAGTTAAAGCAACAAACTTTGCTGGTGCCTCACCATTTTGTGCATCTGTACACTTAATTTTTCTTGTTTGACTCTGTAGTCGTCATATTTTTTTAATTAATTATTATAATTATTTTGTAAATAATGACACATATAGCACAAATAAATTAAATTAAGAATCAAATTAAATTAGATATGTACGTACACACGTACATATTGAATGAACGTATGTATGAATTTTTTTAACATTACCGTTCAAAAGTTAAAATAATTAATACATAATAATAACAATTGAGCAATATTATATACCATTACAAACATCTGAACCTCAATCGGGTCATTTTCAATATAAATACAGACAAATTACGATGTTACAAACTATAAGATATGAATCCAAGCAATGATCGTGTCATTTTGTTTATTTGATCCCTGTAGTTGCTTTTTTCACGTGGATCTTTGAAATTTTTCTGATTGCAGAACTTGTTACAATACACGTTGCGTATAATGCAAAATTGTCATAACTTAATACATGTCTGTATGTACATGAAGCCATCAACTGTATTTATTATGTTCGAACTGAAATATTGCTTAGAGCACGTATACTTTGAACTGTATCAATATGTAAACAGTATGAATGAAAAAATTGAACAATTTTTTTACGCCAAAAGTTGTATTATCAGTAAATTCAGTGTTGTAAGTACTTTTCACAAAATTTATGATCAAGCTTCTATTATAGAATGTGAACAGTTCGCGCTTTAAATAATATTGAAAACCAGCAACTGATGAGTGAACATTGTTTTTCAAGAGGACATGTATGAACACACAATAATAATATAACATTTTATAATACTATTATTCTAGCCATGATTGCGTTTCAAGAATGGAGAGGACTTTATTGCACAGTTTATAGAATTGTTTAGTGTAATTGTATAAATTCATACTGAAATATTTAGGTAATAAAATTAACTTTGGTCGATTATAGGATTTCATTTACCTAATTGATGGAATTAAAATTTATTTATCTAATTATAAATTTTTTAATATAATTTAGCATATGTATATATAATTTAATGTATATATTATTTCTTGGTAAAATTTATTTATAAGCATGTCAAATCAGGAACAAATTATGTAAACAGCGATGCCACCGACCGGAAATCTGTCCTGCGCTGCCCTCTCCCCCGCGCCCCGCGTCCCCCTTAGAGGATCTTACAGTTAGATCTTATAGTTAGATCCTTAGAGGATCTTACAGTTAGTCAGTCTTCCTAGTATCCCTACTTAATAGATTTAAATAGGGACAAAACTCTACATTATTATGTATTATTATCAAATCATATTTTAACAACTAATGTTTTTCACATTGACATTCAGTGTAGGCTTATATGCTCCTTATTAATTATATTATTTTAATTATTGATTTGAAAAAAAAGTTGAGAATTATCTGTTATAGTTATTTGTTATAGTTTCTTTAATAGCGTGAAGCAGATTTCTTGAATTTTCGATCGAATAATTCGAAAAGATGGCGCCAAATATTTTAAGCACAGATTCAAAAACACTCACGGAGAAAGATTTACAAAATGAGGAATCTTCGATTATTACAAAGACAATAGATAAAAATAACAAGCAAAATAGAAGCGAGAGCTATATAAAAAGGCTATATGAAGACTGGTTTAAGACAGAGCCCAAATGGTTTAACATCGTATCTATTTGTTTCTTCCACTTGAGCTTCGTATATAGCTGTTTTACTTTTAACTTTTTTGAAAATCTGATGACGACTGCTTGGTGTAAGTATTCTTTGAAAAATTCTTTCATTAATTTGATTCCTTGATATTGTAAAAAAACTATATAATAAAAAAATAAAATTTAAATCATCAACGAATTAATCATTAAAATTGTAATGCATGTTTATAAAAAATGCCACAGTCGTTTTTAATTTTCTGACAGCTGCAGATTTAAAGACATTTGATTAGACTCACGCGATTGAAAAGAGCAATAGAAGCTTAATAATAAACCAGTAAATTGCTGTTAAAAATTTCTCATTTCTATCGTACCATATCGATTATGTCATAAATCATATTGAATTGTCAAATCAGTAAAATCCATGCTACTTACATGGTGCTCTTAAGAAATACGGATTATTATTCACAATTTTAAAGCATTTCTAGTTGCATTCGTTGCTTTTTTGTTTTAAGTATGCTGGCTGATTGTAATAACAGGCTTTGGTATCACCGGCGGTGTTCATCGTTTATGGACCCATCGATCTTATAAAGCAAAATGGCAGCTTAGAATTATATTGGCCATCTGCTATGTTACAGCTGGCATGGTAAATGAACGTTTATAATTACGTTTCAAGACGAAAGAATTTTTCTTTACAATTATATCCTTTTAGAATGACATATTCGAATGGGTGCGAGATCATCGGGTGCACCACAAATATACTGATACGAATTCGGATCCGCATAACAGTAGGCGAGGATTCTTTTTTTCCCATGTGGGTTGGTTGATGATGAAGAAACATCCGGATGTGATCCGATGTGGTCGTGAAATCGACATGAGCGATATATTGGCTGATCCTATTGCTGTATTTGCTATCAAGTAAGTTTGTGTAGGGAGTTATATAAGTTATACGAAATAGTTTTATATTGAAAAAGACAAAAGAATATAAGAAGAAAGAAAGATATTACGAAAATGTTTTTACCATGCTTTCGGAAAATGTGTATATTTATAATTATGATATTTTTATATAGTCTTCTCTACTTCCCCGAACATAGGATATTTATGAAATTATACAACCAAATCTTGTATAAAATTTGTAACTTGCATTTATAAGGGCATATTTGCAAAAACAGATGTAGAAACTTTAATATCTTCTAAAATATTGATCATTTTTGTGTTAGATTTCGTCATATGTTTTCATGAATGTTGTCCTATAGGAGTTTGATTCATATTGAAAGCATATATTTAGTATTCCGATATTTTTTGCAACCTCTCCTGGTAAAAATTTTTCTCATAATTTTTATACAAATTGGAACATTTTTCAGAAATACTCAGAAATATTTGAAAAATTTACATCTTCTCTCAAAAATTTTAACAAATGAATTCTGAAATATTTTGAAATTTCTCATCCCATAATTTCTAAAAAATATTTTAAAATTTTTTAGATTTTATAACATTTCATTAGAAATTATACTTACAAAAAATCTTAAAAATCTTACAATATTTCATAATTAACATACATGAAAAATTCTGAAGAAAATGTAGATTTTTTGAGAAGTGTTCCAATTCGTATAAAAAATGTGAGAAAGTTATAAAATTATATAGAAATTCTGAAAATATAAAGAAAATATTTTTTTATATAAATTTTTTTACGTAAGATATAAAACTGTGAAAACTACACACCGTAATTAATTAATGCTAAACTATAATAGTAATAAGACTCAATAAATTAAAAAAACAGAAAAACAAAGGGCTACAAGCCTAAGATTAATCGTTATAAATTAAAATTTTAAACCTAAACATGTCATCTAGTTAAAATATAAAACTTTAATTTGCTGGTAACAAACAAAACAAATCAAACGTTTCGATCCCTGTTGTTACCTGTTTTAACTAGATGACATGTTTATTTATTAACGATTTAAAATTTTAATTTATAACGATTAATCTTAGGCTCGTAGCCCTTTGTCTTTCTGTTTTTTAATTAATGCTATTTTCCAGATATTTTTCGATATTAAAATTACTATTCGCTTTCCTACTTCCGATGATGATACCTGTGTATGCATGGAATGAGACTTGGTCTAGAGCTTTCGTGTCACAGATTTTTATTCGTTACGTTTTTGTTTTAAATATCACATGGAGCGTCAACAGTGTGGCTCATATCTGGGGCCCAAAGCCATATGATGCGTAAGCAAATAATTAATATTAAAATTATTCACATATAAATTTGATCCAAAAAATCTAAAACTTTTGCCATTCTGTATCGCTTAAAAATCATTTTATATTGTCTTTGAGCATCTTAGAGAAATGACTATATTTTCAATCTCATCGTATTGCCTAAGAATGGACGATGTTTATATTATATTGATATACAATTAGAAGAAACAAGTTATGTTTGTCTATAATCTACATACACAATCCAGAGGAATATATGGTTATCGATTACAACATTCTTATAACATTTATTTTATATTAAGCGAGATTGCTAATTAATACTGCGATCGAGAGTGAATTTTGATTTTTATATATCTTATCTATGTAATATTTCCACCGTTATTTTTGTTAACATTGATAATGATCCAACAGGGATCGAAATGTTTGGTTTTGTTTTGTTTGTTACCGATAAATTGAAGTTTTATATTTTAACTAGATGACATGTTTATTTATTAACAGTTATAAATTTTAATTAATCTTAGGCTCGTAGCCCTTTGTCTTTCTGTTTTTTAAAAATAATTTTGTCATGTTTATTTTAATGATAGGGAATTGAAAGCAACGCAAAGCTTATTCGTCAACTATGTTACGGGCGGTGAAGGATCGCATAATTATCACCATACTTTCCCATGGGACTACAAGGCTTCCGAGTTTAATGAGTTCCTAACCACGCAAAACCTTAATTTCTTTTCGAAAATCGGCTGGGCGTATGATTTCAAAGAAGCGTCGAAGGAGCTTGTAAAGACCGTTGCGATGAATAGAGGTGATGGAAGTCATTCTTTGTGGAAAGCTGTGCCATATCCAGCTAGTAAAATTGAATAATAAAAATAACAAAGAATTGTCTCATGGTAACGAGTTTTTTGGATCAGTTAACAACAAATGTACGCGATCAAGATAATTTACTTAAATTGATTTAAAATAATATATCAAGTTAATAATGTTATATAATAATATAATAACAATGTTAAAATATAAATTTGTTTTTTAAACTTCCCAGTAGCACATTACATTCAGGAAATATCTATAAAATGTATATGAACCAATAGGTGCTACTTAGGCTGTAACATATCAGTAGAAGTAGAGATATTGTGTATATATATATATATATATATATATGTGTGTGTGTGTGTGTGTGTAATTTACAAAAATCCGCGATTAAGTTTATTACGAACTGTTTTATTGTCATCTTATTTAAAGCGTGGAAAATTACAAAGAGAGAAGATTACTTAGGGAGAGATGTCAAGTAGTAGCCAAGTAGCAATAAAATTAATAGAATTTTTATAAAAGTGTTAACTTTTCTTATTTGTTAAAAACACGTTTGTAACGTTTAGTTGAATTTGGCGTGAAATACCTAGCGTATAGGCGCAAAGAGAATACTTTACTTCAGGCAGCTAGTAGGTCTCATTTCAAAATAAGAATTTATAGATATAGAGTCTCAAACCTTTTTCGAGATTAAATTGTTCTTAATGACTTGTTCTGAACGCCGTTATAAAGTGCTTACAAAACCATAAAAACCTTTTATACTACGTCGTCTGAAAAAAAAAACGTTGTTTCCATACATATACTGATTATTGCGAAGAATATTACTAAGGCCTCGGTAAATTAAAGGACGTAAAACTTAGGACGCTCGCACGAAATATTAGAGATTCCGGCCGAGATAATATTTTTCGCAATAAATAAATTTATTTACAGATTTCCAACATACTAAGATTTTCTTAACAAATGCCTATTAAACATCAAAATTTAATTATGATATCAGTAGTTCAATTACGTTTTTAAGAAATTGGAAAAATTAATTTGGCGCGCAGTTAAAATGACTATAAAATAGTGTATGTGTGTACACATGTAGTATATATAAATTCACATTAAATTATTTAAATATTAAAGATCCAGCTTTGACCATTATGAGCTTTTATTTTCTATTTCTTACTGGTTGCGTTTTGGATATATACAGTGTCCAATAAAGATTCTTATTATTCATAAAACATTTTTATTCAAAATATTTTTTTATATTTTTCATTCGGAGATATTCGCATAGACATAAATGTCGATTTTTTTTTAGAATCAACGTAATGGCAAAACTTGAATGGAGTGTTCATATCTTCGATCAATGATGATTTTCTTATCGATCTCGCGAAAACGATCCAAGAATGGCTGTGTTCGGTTTTTACTGGCAGTACTGCAAAAACGTACTCATTACAGTGTACTGCCATAGTTGTTCTGAAATACTGTACTGTTTTTGATACAAATGTTACAGTGTATAAACGAATACTTCCGCAGTAGTTTCACAATCAGTGAATAAGTTTGTTAGAGATCGTTGTAAATGAATATACATATATTATATAATGGATAAAAAAATTAAAATATCAATATATATAGCTATGGTAGAGGCTATAATGCTTGTAAGACTTGTTAAGATTAAGGATTCTTATTTTCATATATCGATTAGCTTCTAGTTCATAAACCTCTCGATATCGCGATCAGAGATACTACAGATACATGATTGCAGTAATCGGGACATAGATGCATTTGTAGTATTTCAAACTATGACGAAAATAACTTATTACCGCGAGAATAAGATCTAGCTAATTATATATGTGTGATAATTTAAACAATATTAAGAATCTTTATTTTAGACCGCATATGTGAGAAACACAATCAATACTAGAAATTAAAAATGCCTACGAGCTAGGACGCTCGTACGGAATACAAGAGATCCGGTTTCAAGTTCCGCCCGAAGTACTATTTTTTGTAATAAATTTATGAACAGTTTCAATATATTAACATCTTTATAATATGACACTTGATGGTAGTATCAAATTATGAAAATTACTTGTCAATTTATTTCGCGATTACTAGAGTAATTTTAATTGCGTTATAAGTCCGGAAAAACAATTCGACGCGCAGTTTGAAAAGACTACAATATAGTACATATACAAGTGTATATATTAGTAATTCAAGGTTGAATTATTTAAAGCAATGAAGATCCAGCTTCGACCGTAATATGCAAAATTTCTAGTATTGATTGTGATAATTTAGTTGCTACTAAATCATACAGCACAAATAATGTAACAATTTATTTCGATAAATGTAATATCTCTGACCGCGATATCGAGAGGTTTATGAACTAGAAGCTAATCGATATACGAAAATAAGAATCCTTAATCTTAACAAATCTTACAAGCATTATAGCCTCTACCATAGCTATACTGATATTTTAGTTTTCTTATCCATTATATATTATGAATATATGGATTATCAATCGGAAATAGCGTTAACCTTCCTGAAAATGATATTTAATTGCTTAAAGCAAATCTGCTCGAGTAATTTGGAGAGGAAAGAAGAAATAGAAATAGAGCGAAGTGAGAAGGGATAAAAAAGGAGGAGATGAAGAGAAGTTTCGATTTTTGAGAATTGGAAAAATTACTAATTGCTTCCAGGAGATTGGAAAAGTGTTGCAAGATAAGAAGTGATTGAAAATATAAAAAAGAGATAATCAAAATATTGTGAATGAGAGGATTATATGTCCTGAAGATTCGTGCAGAAGTGAGTTTTGTGCGCTTAAAGATATTAAACATCGATAGTCATGATAAGAGCAAAGGTAAAGATTTTTATTTTTGAGATGTATAGTTAGACGATAGGAACAAACGGGATGACACAAAAATAGAAGAAGAACTTGAAAAAGAGTCAAAGGAGTATTTGTTGAGATGATAGGGGTTGAGCACATGAATTGGAAAGATGGATGAGAAGATAATATCGAGAAGATGGTGAGGCTCTGTGGAGAGAAATTTAATAGAAAGACCTATTTTCACGACGAATAATGGAAGTTGTGCCGTTATGAAGCTCTCTGTAATGCAGCCAGTCATACAGTTAATAAATATTATCTGTCTAAAATATTTTAACACTTAGTATTTACATTCAAAGATAGTAAAATATGATCTTTTACACTATAAAAATTATCTTTCACGGTTAGCCAAAGACGCGTAAACTAAACTATTAAAATTAATATTATTTAACCATATAAATCTTACTTGCCAATTTTTAATTTCATTTTCAATAATTTCTTTGAAAAATAAAAACATTTCATTTTAAGTGTTAATTATTTTCATGTTCCATTTTATATTTTAGCGAGTATGACATTCTTAAATTAAATTTAATTGACGAAGAGTAATTTCAATTACAAATTCGAAATATCATTAAAAATCATTAAAAATCATAAAATATCATTAAAAAGTGTATTTTTGAGATAAACATTTTAAATAATAAACATTTTTACGTAAAAATGAATTTTTAGTGCAAAAATGAAACTAAGAGGAACAACTTCCAATGCCCTTGATCTTGATAAATGTTATCCAGGTCATGATCCTGAACAACATTCAAGAGATTTTAACCATCGGTCGCTTAAGTAATGCTAATGCCAGCGATGCTGTAATTTTTAAGCCGTATAACTCGCAAAGTATTTATTAATAAAAAAATATTTTTTATAGTATTTTGAAAAACTCTCGAAGTAAACTATAAGAATATGTAATGAAAAATTGGAGATTCTATTTAAAAAATTCAAAGTAACCTTACCCTGACCTTGACAATATCATTCAAAATCAAACCAATGAAACCATCTTATGTCCCCCTCAAAGTAAAAAAACTTTCGACTGAAACATTTTTCGATTTAACTATGATGAAAGGGATAAATGGTATGCTCAATTTGCAAGCGTCTCTCTCTAAATCTCTGCCGTCGTGGATAGAGTAGGAATCTGAACGTTCCTCCTAAGAACGTTCCCGCAATAAAGGCACTCAAAAGAAATTTGAACGCTTTCTGGTTTTTATTGGCTCCGCACAATAAAAGGAACAGGGAATAGAGAACAATAGAGAACAGTGAATAAGAATTTCAATCTATCAGAAACTGTGTATCCCGCAATGCATGATTTCTGATAGGTTGAAATTCTTATTCTCTGTTCTCTGTTCCCTGTTCCTTTTATTGTGCAAAGCCCCTGACTGGGTGCACTCGAGTGGGGAATCTGAACCCAACATGGCACGCTTAATCGGGTTTAATAATATCCGTAGTTATGAAATTGGCCAATCACAGTTATATTCTTCCGAGGAACAGTTATGATTGGCCAATTTCATAACTACGGATATTATTAAACCCAATTAAGCGTACCGTATAGCAAAGGTTATAGACAGAGTTTTTAGCGTTTTCGGCTCGGCCGAGTTTGCACTAATCTAGGTTGAAGTAATGATGTTTCGTGCTCTCCTATTGGTAGAACGTGTAACGTCAACCAATAGCGAAGCATTTTCTAACCCAAGTTGGTGCCCGGTCGAACTGAAAACGCCATATATGAATGCACCTTCATTAAGGAGCACATACAAGCGTCAAGCAGCAGAGGCAGCAACTAATCAACGAAGCAATTTTTACAGTGGCGTAAAAAATATTGTTTTTACACCACTGCCCGTATCGCCCAGCTGATTGGTTGCTGTTTTCATTGCTTGACGCTTGACGCTTGCATGTGAATGCGCCTTTAGTACTCCGTAGGTTCCTTTCCAGTTTCACATTTCACAGCATAAATATACCTAACCTAAAAGATTCACTTCAGTAGTTCATTGTTTATTTACGGTGTTGTACGCGAAGTGCTTGTACAGTTTGCAGTGAAAAGTTATTTCAATTTCACGATGTCGGAAAAAACGAAAAACATGAGTCATGTCAAACATATTCCCAAAGATGCTCAAGTCATCATGTCAATTATGAAGGACATGGGAATAACAGATTATGAACCTAAGGTGATAAATCAACTATTGGAATTTACATATCGTAAGTTCTTTTTATTTCTTTTGTAATAACTTTATTTTGATAATTTTTAATTGATATTTTTTAACTATTTTACCATTTCAATTCTTGAAATTTATTTAATTAATGGAATTTTCATACAGGATATGTCACATGTATATTGGATGATAGCAAAGTATATGCCAATCATGCCAAAAAGAAGTTCATTGATTTGGATGACGTCAGACTGGCAGTCAAGATGCAACTAGAGCGTTCGTTCACAAATCCACCGCCCAGAGATGTTCTATTAGATGTGGCACGAACCAAGAATAATATTCCGCTGCCTTTTGTCAAACCAAATAATGGCCTCAGATTACCACCAGATCGATATTGCTTAAACGCACCGAATTATAGACTTAAAAATACGATGAAGAAGGTTGTTCAAAAATCTGGACACTCTTTAGTTGGCAATAATCAATCCGGTGGACAGCCAAGATCGAAAATAGAGGGAAATAAGACTAGTGTGTCGATTGTTAAAAGACCTGGCACACTTGCCACTGTTGCAAGAACACAAACTATTTCTATACCGAAACCTGTTTTGAAATTTTCCACAGGTAAGTGTTTTTTGATATTCATAATTATGTTAACTTCTTACTAATACATGTAATACTTACTTTATTATATTGCTTTAATATAAAATATTATGTCCTTTTTCTATTTCCAATGTCAGCTTCGTTCTGCCTACTGCAGTCCCATTACTCCACACCATTCCGTATTTCCTTTAAAACTCCAGCAAGTAAGATTTTAATATAAAAAAATACTGAACAACTGCAATTGGTATTACTAGAATTTGTATAATATTTATCTAAAATTAAAAGAATTTAATAACATTTAAAAAAGTTATATATTTAAATTTCCTGTTTATTCACCAGTACTATTCCAAATCAAATTGACATCAGGAGTGAGAAAATACAAAAATTCAAATATAAAATTATATTTGAATAGAAATATTCTTTTAATACATTAATACAATATTTCCAATCGATAGACTAGAATAGATTTGTATAATGTACCAAAATTTATCTTCTTGTTTAAGATTTATCTTCTTGTTAAATTAAATTATATTTATTTCTGTATATTATTAATTTAATAGTTTGTCACAGTAAAAAGAAGTCGTTTCATTTTGATTGCGTATACATAATTTATTTCTAGATGTATAGTTATTTATTAATTAATGAAATAAAGGAAAGTTTCATTTTTTAAGTTCTATCGATTGTGTTTTCTGACATCACAATCTTAGATGATAGTAGTCAACAATATTGAGTCAACAAAGAAGCTTTAAAATTAAATATAGCTGAAAATTTTTTAATTAAATCTCATATCTATATTCATACGAATATTTTTGTAGCGGCAACAAGTACTACAACAGTAAAAACACAAGTAACGAAACCGAAGATACAGATTACTTCCAATCAAACGTTGCCGAGCGTGAAAATGGAAACCGACGAATCATTGAAAAGAAAACGAGAGGAAGAGGATTACGATATGCCATAATTTTAAGTTCTGAATGCTATTCTGTTTTAATGATTAATATTCTCTAACATTCTATAATAATTCTATAATCCGTTTTTTGTTAAAATAATACAAAAAGAATATACAAAGTCTAATAAAATATAAGATTATATAAAACACACATTTATTATTTGAATGTGTTGAAAACTATTTTACATGTTCATTATTTAAAATTAAATTTTATTTATTCCTCATCTTCATACTCATTTTCTTCAATTTCATCTTCATCCTCATCTCCTGTGTAACCTTTCAATTTTGGTGTATATATATATATTTTCTTCTTTTTCTTCTCCTTTGACCTCATTCAATAACCGCAGGTTCGACTTTTTCCTCTTCATCAATCACAGTTTCTTCAACTTTAATTTCCTCTTCTTCTTTTTCTGCTTCCTCTTCTGCTTCTTCTTCTGCTTCCTCTTCTGCTTCTTCTTCTGCTTCTTCTATTTCTTCTGCTTCTACTTTTGCTTCTTCATCTTTCTCTGCAATTATCTTTTCTACTTCTTCCGCATATGGTATCGCTTTCTCGATTAAATCAGGTTCCTTCGTAACTGGCGGCTCAAGTCCCTTCTTCACTTCCTCGATAGTTGGTGCTTCGACGGACGGTACTTTCTCAAGTATTAGACTAGGTTTTTTCGGCACATCTTCCTCTCTAACGCATTTCTTTCGGTGTATTGGCAAGAAAAGCTTGAACTCTTCTGGCATTTCCTCCTCTGAATAAAGCCTTAAAAATTGCTTTTGCTTAACATTTAATTTGAAACTACTTTGTCAAAATAAAACTATTATTAAAAATAAAACTATTATATAAGACTGTACATTACTTAATATATTTAATAAATTATTTATTATTACAGTTATTTTACACTAACCTATCATAATATCAAGAATTTAATGAAATTTTTGATATTTATTAATAAGGCTTACGTTAAATAAATAAAATGACATATTTTATCGATGATAATACAAAATTTAAAGAATTGATTAGAGAATTAATTGATACATGTATTAAATCCTTGCCTATCGGCGAAATAAACTCGTCTGATTCTGCAGTTGGCATGAATTTGCATTCTAGTGGTTTCAATGTAATTTGTACCATAGGCTCGTCGTGTAAAATCAGACAAATTAAATTGAATCTGATTCCATCCACCTGAAAGTCCGATGGGCATGGATGTGGAAAACGGGCGAATACGTGTCGTACTCTGAAAATTGCTCACACGGAATCTCCTATGCATGTTCTTGTCGTCCAATATCTAACAAATTATTTAATTAATTTTTTGAGATTGCAATATGTCGCAAATCTACAAAAAAGTGAGATATATATATAATGGGAACAGAAATTCGAAAAGAAAAAGAAATAGAAACTTTTATTCAAGAAGAAATATTATATAAAAGGTTTATTTAAATAACAAAAATTAGAAATTTTATCTAAGACACATCATCTTTTATTTACGAAAGAAAATAAAATTTTTTATTTATTAAGATGAATAACAAGTATCTGTTATATCTAAAGAATTGAATAAAAAAAAATCTTGTTAAAAGAAACTTAGAAGCTTTATTTTTAACTACGTATTTAAATGGACTTTACTGTTATCTCGAACGTGAAATACTTCTTCATGTTCTTGATAATGATGATAAGAAAGGGTAGCTTAATACCCAGCTCCTTCTTCGGATATGCTGGACAATAAATATAAGTTGTAGCCACATTGGTCCCGGCTATTTCCAATGCCAATGACTTTATCTCTTCATCTGTAATTCTTCGTATATATCCGTTTTTTACCTGAATAAATATGAGTGGTGCAATACAATAAATTTAGATATACATGTACTTTTTAAATTATATATATATATACGTTCTTCTTGTTATTAGATATATAAAAATATTAATTTTTTTAAATTTACAAGTAGGCTTTTTGGAAATTATAAGATTGTAAACTATGAATCTTGATATTGTTTTTAATATGTAAAAACTAACGTGCATGTCCCATAACTCCAAAGGAGACGACCCGCAACTATACAAAATGGACAAAAATCCGCCCTGATAAGTATTTCGAAACATTTATTTATAAAGATATTTGCTTAGCTGTTTACAGTTTGACAAATATCAAATTAGATTCTTTCCTTTGTTTCTCGAGTTTCCACATTAATTGCCAACGTTCTGTCTCTTTGAGACAAAATTATATAATTAAACATAATCTCCAGTAAAGAAGAAACTAATATTGCAGAGCTCACAATCAAAATTTGAAAGTTAATTTGGAAATTAATATTAACTGTTTGTTCATTATTGACGAACTTCAAATAAAAAGAAAAACTAGATATTTGATGTTACTCCTTAATTAAAAAAAGACTCCGCACAAATCTTATAAAAATTGAATTCAAATTGATATATTGCTATGGAATTCCCATAGCTAAAAATTTGATATGTTGTAGATCTTGTCGTTCTAATAAAGTCTCCACAGGCACCCCAAACAACACAAAGTCTAAAGTTATGACATAAGACGTCTATAAGTCGTCTTTTAGATGCAAAGAATGTCTTATGCTTGATTTTAGACACTTTTTGTTGTTTAACACGACTCGCTACAATGAACCATTTGACCTCTACAAGGCGTTTCATTTTTCAAAACGGGTTAAAGTTATAAGAAATAATGTTGACTTGATTGTTTCCCACAAATCGGATTTTATTGGCGATCTATAAAGCGAGTCTTCTCGCCTTTTACAAATTGGGATGCTTTATATATTATTGTGAGTCTCTTTATAATTTTTTTTATTAATTATGCAGTATAGGGAACTATCCTGCAATTATCTTGACCTTGACATATGTTATTGACAAAACAGAGAATGCCAACATGGTCAAAGTTAGATATTTTAAATAATACAATATATATTCTTTATTAAATCAATTTATTTCAGATATGATTACGCGCTGATAATTTTCCGGACTTTCAATATAATCAGTCTGAAACGCTAATCTCCCTAAAATTAAAAAAACGGTTAAAAGACTTTTTCTTTTTATTTTAAAATATAAAAAGTGCAAATCATGACGTAGAAATGCACCATATTCGCTGAAAATAAAATATTGAGTATTAACCCATTTTTAAAAATGACGTATACAGAGGTCAAATGGTTTATTATAGAAATAGAAGATCGTGCGTGTGGAGACCGAAATTTAATTTCCATCAGATTTGTGTGGAGTCCTTTTTAAAATTGAGTTTTATGATAAACCTTTTTTTGTTTTTAAATCTATTATTTTGAATTTTTTATTTTTGACTTAAATTCAGATAAATTCGAATACATCGAATTACCCTATAGTCCAAGTTTTATAAAAATCAAGCGAGCAGTTTACAAAATAAAAGGAGGTGATTCCAAATGGAGTCATCGCAGTATGCAAAGAGTAAATATGTTCTGTTATAATTATAATATAAAACATGTTTAATAGATTAAAAACAAAATATTCAAATTTTATATATATGTATATATATACAGGGTGTCTGATAATTGTTCTGATAGAGTTCGTGGAGATGTAGAACGGACTAAACTGAGGCGGAAAGTCTTCTATTATTGCAATTTTCGCAATAGTTAACAAGATATTAATTGCTAAAAATTGCCGAAAATTGATCTCAATAATTTTTTATTCAAATACTGTCAACTTTACAGAAAAATTGTAAGAGATAAAAATTGTTGTTTATTTTCTTTTCATAGAGCTTTAAGAATTTTTTTAGAATTTTTTTAGAATTTTAAAATATTGTATTTTCTTATGTTGATAAAAATGAGAAAATGTAGTAGTAAAAAGTGGATAAAAAATTCTGAAAAAATTCTTATAGTTCTATGAGAAGAAAATAAACAATTTTTATCTTTTGCAATTTTTCTGTAAAGTTGATAATATTTGAGTAAAAAATTATTGGAGACCAATTTTCAGCAATTTTTAGCAACTAATATCTTTACTGTTGCGAAAATTGCGAAATGGTAGAAGACTTTCCATCTCAGTTTAATCCTCTCTAAGTCTCCACGTAAACTCTGTCAGAACAATTATCAGACATCCTGTATATATCAGTAATAATTACAAAAATAATTAGAAATTTATTAATATATATAATTACAATTAGAGATAATTAAACAGATCGACATTAATTACGAAATTAATAGCAGAGATAATTAAACAATAATTAACGGAAATAATCTATTCCCACTGAAATTATTTAGAGGCTTTCTTAACGATTTTCGATAAGATCATTTAGTCGGCGTCTCTCTTTCTCTGTTAAAGGATCTGGCACGATTAACATCTTCGGCGACATGCCAATGCTGAAGACGCGATCGACTTTCACACCATCGAGAGCAAACATTTGGACCATAGCAAAATGCATGATCTCACGATTCAGCTGCCGAAATGATTGCCGCTTAATTCTTTGCGCGCGTTGCCTGCAGACCACATTGCTTAAAAAAATACAATTAATTGTGTAATTAATTATGAACTATATCATAATATAAAATTATACAAGTTTTATATAAAGCTAGTGACCTTTAAAGTCTCGGTATGAACTTTTTCAGAACGTCTCATTTAATCCCTACATTACTCGTGTGGTTTTTTTTTAACTTGCGTTTCTGATACTTTAACATTACATATCTCTATTTTTATTGTTCTCTTTGATGATTTACAATTAAATAAAGATTGATAATATTTTATATCTTTTGGATAAAAATAAATGCAAACATTTTTTTAATTGTGAAACAATTTACGTTAAATATAATAATATATGTGTATAAATAATATTCACACACGTTTAGCAAATTTATAAAATGGAGATGTACTGGACATTCCATGCGAGTAATGAAGAGTTAATAAAATTAATGCTTTATAACAGATACAACAAACTTTGATATAAGAAAACGATTTTCTTTTATTCATATCTAATTAATTTTTGTTAATTGATCGATTGAGAATTAATTCTTACTAAGGCAAGTTTTTCAAGTCTGTATAGCTGGGATGAATTGAAACATCGCTTCGATATAATTCCGGAAATCGCTTCATATGCTTCGTGCGGTATTTGCGAGGCATAGGTTTCTCTTCCGCTTCTTTTGAATTCTTAAGCTCTTGAAAGCCTCCAGAAATTTTCAAGTTCTTATCCTTCATCAACGAGTCATCTTTTTCATTCATTTTCGAAATTTGACGTTAACTTCCTGCCACTTTTTAGAACAATTCAAAATTCGATCTCAGTTCTATTAGGTGAATAAAAAATATTTTTAAACACTTTTTAGACTAAAAAATTTCTCCAAATTAATTTGATTTGCATTACATTTATTCGTTGGTAAACTAAACTTCATTGATTTAACAAACGTAATGTTTCGTAATGCCATATTTTTTTCTTTGCACTTTCTTCACTCGTAGAAGACTCTATAGAATAACAATCTTTTTGAAATCGTAATCGTTTTTCAGTGAAAATAATGATTTTCGAGAATTTAGCAGATTTGACAAACGGACGACGAACTCGACGAACGATTCGAGGAAAATTGGCCGATTCGTAACGAAGTGAGTACCTGTACCTCGTACGGATATCGATTTGGTTTCTAGGTGAATCAATAAATTCGGCTTATTCTTATTCCGAATCGTCAACGATGTGCACGGAGCACTGAACTCTTCAGAACAATAAAAACGAGAGCGACTTGTAAAAAATACCAATCTAATGAATAAAAAATAATCCTCCGCCGAATGCCATTATTGATCACTAAATCTAATCATTGAGAATTCATATTTTTATGATTAAAGTTAAAGAAAAATGCAAAAATTGGACCAATAATAAAAAATGGACAATAAGAATTCAAATTTTATATCATTAAAAAATATACACATATAGATCTAATTGTATAAACTTTGAGATAAAAATTCTGAAAAAAAAAACAAAGTATGAGTTTAAACAAATTTAACAATCGAGGATTAATTTGACAAAGTATTATAATTTAAACAAGAAAAATTGATAAACATGAAATTGTAGTTTCAAATTTCAGAAATAGTCCGATAAAAAACGTATCTCTTATCAGTTAAGATCTTTGCATTCTCAATGGTCCTTTTAGTGAATGCTCTTCGTGTCTTGCGCCAATTTTATCAGAAGGGTTGCACGCGATGAGGGCAGCATTCTAGTCTCGATCGTCTCGACAGTGCACACGTATGAGGTATGCGTTAATTAAATTCATCCCGTACTTTCCACACATGCATGATGTTACCGTCTTTCTCAATCGTGGGTGTTTAACGTGTTCGTTCACATTGTTGAAACTTTACCCTTCCACCTCCGCATTTATTGATTTTTGTGTATATGTATACCTATAACAGCTATAGTTAAAGTCATATTGATACAGTCCTTGGCATTACCTATTAATTAAATTAATTAAAATTGAAGGAGTTATAATATTAGAATAAAATCGCAAAAAAATTATTTGCTCTTTATTCAAGACAATTTCTTATCTAGTTTAAAATAAGATATCTTTTATTTAAAGGAACATTTTATTAATAATTAACTTCCCCTGCGATTCCTTAATTAAACCTTAAAAAATTAAAGACAATTTTTATTTATTTTATTATTTAATTTTTGTATTATTTCTAAATTATCAAAACGCGCAAGGAGAATTAAATTATCAGTTTATCGTTTTATTTGGAGAAAGAAATTGGAAGATTATATTTAAAAAATTGAAAATAAATATACATTTAAACTTTATTGACAGTCAAGGCATTAATTATTTTGAGGAAGTCGAGATCTTTTTAAGTTCGCAAATTTAACCTGACTGTCGTTTCTTAGGAACGAATCAGTCGATCGTTCCAACGGAAATCCTCGAGTGCTCAACGGTCATGCTCGGATTTATTGATATTTGCTCCAAAAGCAAAGGGGGAGTTCGCCGTCACGCCCGCGAGCTCAACAGTCTTCAAGTATACAGCTGATCGTGAGACGAAGCTGAAACAACCGCGTCATACTTTCCGGTCTCGACGATCTTCTCTCGAAATTCCCGACAGCCATGAGCGAGTGACAGCGAGTGCCGGATCGCAAGAATCCTCCGCGAGTGTCATTATCTGCGGCTTCCAAGTTAATCGGAATAATTGTCGGAATGTCGCCGAGATAGCGAGACAAAGCTTTTTCTCTTTGGAGAACCGGACGGTCCATTTAGATACCGCGTCCCCTTCTCCCCTTTTTTTGTTCCACCACGGAAGATCGAAAGGTCCTCGAGTTTGTGAACATCCCAAAAATTCATTCACACTATTCACGACTCTAAATATCTCTCTGACGAATAAAAATAGATTTTCCGAAGAATTTAATTAAATATTTTAGATTATATATTTTTTCAATGAAATTTAAATACACCTCTTTCTGATAATTCAAAAACCGGCTGACTCTAACTTCTAAGTAATTTCACTGTCAAATTTAGAGAATTTAAATTTTAAATTAGAATCTAAAATTGATGTCTTCAAATATTTAACATCTAACTGACAAATTTTACATAAAACTTTGATTTTCTGAATGAACATCGGAGATTGTAAATATCTGTGAAAATCTAAAAATCTGCGCCACAATTTCGTTAAGTTACCAATTATCTGTTTAAGAATTTTGAAGAATTTCGATGCGATTTGTGAAATTTCTGTCAAATTTCTCAGTGAAAAATGTTAAAAGATTTGAATTTTTACACATTCAATAATAAATTATAAAGCTTCATAATCACTGGTCAATGTTGGTGAAAATCGAAGTATCGACCCGCAAGAACGACAGATTGAAAGCTCCTGCCGTCGTCGGGACGCTCAATAATCACGACAGAGTTTTACAATGGCCAACGAAAGGATATCAGGTCGTTACAGGTTGGCAATGAATTCCGACATGTTTAAATTTACGAATCTATAAATATTGCTCGAAACCTCGAATTTTCAGTCGCATTGAACACTGCAAATATTCGAAGATGTAGAGATATGAGAATTCTCCATTTATCATTTTTTTTTTAAATTTGTATAAGAAAACTACTACATCAACTACTACATCAACCCTCGGGAATAGTCATCCTTTTATACCTCAATTTTTACATTCCAATAAAAAAATGTCCCAATAAAAGAATTTTCGTAAAATGAACATTGTTTCCTCTTATAGTCATATTTATTGAAAATCCGCAATAAAAAGACGTTATATTAATTAAAATTTTTATTTTTTAATATTATTATTATAATAAGCTACTTAACGTGTTTATTCCATTTAATATTTGTTTGTTTTTCTGTACTTATTTTTTTCAGAAAATTGTGAGTAATATCCATCATATAATGTTCATCATATAATGATAATATCAATCGTATAATTCAAATGTCAATAAATCAGAAAACAATCAATAATATGCAATGTATTATTAATAACAATGATTTCAATTAGAATGTAAAAACACCCTAGGCATTTATTTACGAAAAAAAAAATCAGATTACTTCATGAAAAATATTTTCTGCTCATTTTTTATCAAAGCGCGTTTTATTCTTTCCAAGAACATCGTTACCAGTTCCGGGACATTCCGAAGTAAATCTGTGCTCAATGACACTCCAGCTGGGCAAAGACATCAGCAAGACCAGCATGCCGGTCATCTTTAACGAACCTCTCTCTTTCCTGCAACGCGTCGCGGAATATATGGAGTATGCCGTATTGCTCAAGCAGGCATCCCAGCAAGAATCGCCAGTCTTAAGGCTTCAGGTGCGCGTAGAATTGCCTTTAAATTTAATCGGGATAATAAATCAATAATCCGCTACTATTAATAAAACGAAATTAATGATTACGCAGTACGTCGCAGCTTTCGCTGTGAGTGCCCTCGCTTCGAACTGGGAGCGCTTTGGAAAACCTTTCAATCCAATTTTGGGCGAGACATACGAGCTGCAACGCGAAGATTTCCGGTAATTAATCGTTTTACAGATCGCATTTATAATTCGTCAATTTTACTTCTAATTAAAATTGATTTTTTAAATATTATTTTCCTGCCAATTTGCCATCTCTTGCATATTGGAAGTCATTTCTTCTTCGAATCTTCTTCAGGATAATATGCGAGCAGGTTTCGCATCATCCACCAGTGTCCGCGTTCTACGCTGACAGTGACGATTTCATCTTTCATGGCAGCATCCATCCTAAATTGAAATTTTGGGGGAAATCACTGGAGGTTCACCCGAAAGGAATTGTCACGGTCGAATTACCCAAGTAAGTTCAGTAATAAGTTATTCAAGTTTAATAATAATTATAATAAACTAATTTATGTAGTAATTTGTTTTTACTTTATATAGTTAGTAATCGTTATCTTTCCTCTTTTGTCAAAATGACTTCCTCTGAATTTCAAAGATATAAAAAACGTAAATCTCATGGAACGGAATATATTTCTAAATTTTGTCTCTATTTTCATAAATATATTAATTTTTTCGATAAAAAATGCTGTGTGTTATTATTAAAAATTGAAACAATATCAAGAGAACTTTATTGGAAACTTTGGACTTTTTTAAAAGATGCTCGATGTGTTAATGCTTGAATAGATGGAAGGAGTCCTACACTTGGCAAAACGTCAATTGCATCCTTCACAATGTCTTGGTAGGCCAATTATGGATGGAGCAGTCAGGCCCTTTGGAGATCAGACAGCACGGAGGGGATAATTTAAAAGCTAAGCTATGCTTTGTTAAAAGTACCTTGAATGGCAAGGACGTCCATCGCGTCGAGGGATTCATAACAAATCAAGAGTAAGTTTTAATTTAATTAATTAGAACAAGGATTAATTAGAACAAGAATGGAACATAAAAGGAAAAGTTTCATTTATAAGTAGCATTATTAGAGGGGGGAGTGTGGAAAGGGGGGGAGGGGTATGCAGAGGCGCGAGAAAGGTCGGCGGTATCGGTGTTTACATAACAGCGATACGATTGATATGTGCCGCCATATTGTAACGTCACCCTCCCAAAAATGCGTTGCGGTATCTCGTATACTTACTATCTTTCTCTCGATACGTTGCCGTCTTCTCCTATCTCCCTTTTTTCTTTTCGCACACAAAACCATTTGACATCAAATATATTTATTAAATGCGTTTTTATACAAAATGAATCTGAAATACTCTTTTTTCGATACAGTACGTTTTCAATCATTACGCATGCGTGCGTAACATGCCCCAATCGTATCACCTTCTGAGGTGAGGCAAATGGAGCGTGCTCTTAATTGATCCATGGAGTATGCTCTAACGCGACGCGAACATCTAGTCGCCATATTGGTTCCGGTGACGCGAGAGTATTGGGCATGTTGGAGCGTGCGACGCGAACAAATCTTTAAACGAATGGATTGATTCTGAAAATCGATCCATTCGGTTAAAGTCATGAGTTAAAGTCTGCCCCTCCCTCCCCCCCTCCTCTACTAATGCTACTTTTGCATAATAAATTTTATTCAACTTTAAATTGGAATAAAACAAAGCACCCTGATAAAAATTGGAATTATAAAATGTAAAAGAAATATTTAAGCTTCTTTTACATTTTGATTTTCAATATGCCTTGCTTCCTTGCTTCGCTTTTATTTACTCTTCCGTTACATTTGACTTACGCTCTACTTTTTATTTTTATTAGGGCAGTTTACCATTATTATTATTAGCAGTTTATTATTGTTTCTTTATATTCTTTTAGGAAAAGAAAATTATTCTTCCTTTACGGCCAATGGACCGAAATTTTACGATCGTGCGAGACCTCATTGTACGAGGAAACGCTGGAAAAGATCAAATTAGAGGCCAAAAGCCCACAAGGCAGTCCAGGACATAAGAAAGTTTTGGCAAAGCTTCACAGTCTTAAAGTTGGAGCTTTCAAGCCCTTGCATCAGGTATAAAAAAACTATTTAATTAGATTTTATTCAGGGAATTTAATTTATAGGGAAGTTAATTGTTAATTAAGAAATGATTTTTTTTTATTTTAAAATAGATAAAAATGGTCTTGGATGGAAATGGAAAGATTTTTGTAATTTTTAATTTTAATTAATTCAATCAATCACATGAGGACATAGTCAAGCACTATTATAATTTAACATAGTTGTTAATAAAACAATTTTTGCTGAACAAATTAATCTGTTTTTCCGTATACACGAAATGTACTCATTACTGAAACTCCTGTATATTTTTCTAATACAAAGGATGCAATAGAGGAGCCCTTTGGCAATACAGTCGTTGACGACATTCCGATTGTAGACGAGATTCCAGGATCTGTCACACTGTGGGAAGCTACACCAAGACCCAGCAATAGTTCGGATGTTAGTTGAAATGACATTTGGACAAATTAATCAAATACATCAATTAATTTTTTACAAAATTTTATTTTAATTCTGAAATATATGTTTTAATAACATAATTATTTATAAGTTTTTATAATGAATTATTTTATTATAATATAATATTTTTTATAAATTATTTTTTATTCTTACAACAGTTTTCTACCAATTTGATAAAAATAATTTACTTCAAAGGTATATCGATTTATTTGACATGATGCATATTTTGTAGTATTATCAATTTACGACGTTCGCGATGTCACTGAATGAATTGGAACCTGATATGGGAGAAATCCTATGTCCGACCGACTCTAGATTAAGACCGGATATTCGCAAGCTGGAGAACGGCGATCAGGATGGGGCTGCATCTGAAAAAACTAGGCTGGAGGAGAAACAGAGAAATAGCCGCAAAGCGCGCAAGCAGAAGAAAGGAAACGAATACGCTCCCAGGTATAATTACGCATTTTATTTTAGCATATTTAAGAAATCAAGAGTCCAGATTCAGATAAATTCAAAAAGGATCCCGCATTAATTTTATGGAAAATGTCTTTCTGCGGAAAAGTTACAAATCATTTGATACAAGTCTGCGACAAACTGGATTCTCGATTTCAAGGATTCCGAGGAATTTGGTAAACCTATTTTATCGAGAGACATAATATAATCTTCTGTTGACTGAAGTATTTAAATCTTCTTATTTCATTGTAATCTGTCATAATAAACTTTTTGACGTTTTTGAATCCTTTATATATTGACACTTCACCACTGATGATTCTTTTTTTAATTTTCATTGTATTTGTTATTTATTTGGTTTGTTAATTTAATATTGTATTTCTGCATTTTAATACTGAAGAAAGCTTTGTAGGCCGAAACGTTTATGTAGAATATATTATTTAGTATTTATATTCTTATGTTAATTTTATTAATTTAAAGTTATTCTAATCAAAAGCTCGAAATAAGCCATGACATTGTTTAATTTTTTAAAATTATGTTCAGATTAAACAGAAATTCAATACTCGTTTGAAAGAACATAAAGCCGATATAAAAAAACCTTCTAATATAATATCTAATCTTCTAATATAATAATTTCTCAGCACCAATTAAAATATGATCGCAGATTTGATTGGGACAATATACAAAAATTATAGATTCTGAAACATCATATTATGAAAGAATGATATCAGAGATGATACACATTAAGAAGCAAGAGTTAGTTTTAAACAAACAAAGTGATACATTACGATTTCCTGATATTTGTTTACCTATTATTAAAAAATAATTTCCCCTTACTAATATTTTATGATGACCTAATGATTTCCTTCTCCTTTTCCTCCAATATATATAAATACTGTCGTAAATTGACAATGTCACTGTAATTACACGAATTCTTGTACATAACACAGTCTTACCATCGTATAGAATATTTTTCCATCTACGCTAATTATTCTTCAAATATAATTAGCATTGCATTATCGTATTATATTTGATAATTGTAGAAACATGGATAAATTTTTGATAATTAAGTATACCTAACTTATTAACTGAATGACAATAGATATTTGTTTGATTAGAATCTAGTGTTTCAATCCTATGTTTTAACATACAAATTATCAAGAATAAATCCTTAATTTTAATGTAAAGGAGATAATAAAGACAGGATTAATTTTTCTGATTTTTGTACTGCGACAACCTAATTTACTATTTTAATATTTAACACATTCGGATTCTTTTTATTGTACTGATGATGATCACGACTTGACCGAAACGTTTACATGTAATTAATTTTAAATATATGACTTGTACGAAAAACAACTTGTGTATGTGGCTATATGTGGTTCTTTCTTATTTATGTTTCAAAATTTTACATTCTTATATATTATTATATATTATAATATTTAATGGATTTTACAATTTTATTTGAATTGGAAATTATTATCAAGACCCGCTTTGACTGAAATATTTGAATATGATCCTCTTCATTTATTTGTAAAAACTAAATGTACAGGTGGTTCCAGTCTGGTATAAGTCCTTATACTGGCCAAGAAGATTGGATATATTTGGGTGGATATTGGGACCGTAATTATACCGATGTCGAGGACATCTTTTAATGAAGACGGAGTTCGTTATCTTCCATTAATCCGATTAACGCTCACCGAAGATCAGTAATTGAGCGTCATTAGTGAAAAATTACAAATAAATTGCCTAAGAGGACAGGTGCGTAGCTCGATAATAGACGCCATTAGAAATCGATGTCTTTGTGTAAAGTAATTAAAAGCAGATCTTGCGTACGAGATTCTTCGAGCGCAAATTTGGAACTGGGAACTTCGTTCCATGCTCTTCGACGTGGGAAGAAAGTGAATAGAAGATACAACCGAATATCATTCGAAAACCAATTTCTGAGAACCAGAATTTATGGTTTTCGAACATTCGATTGTATCATTGATTCGCGCTTCCTGTCTACTATTTTTATAAAAGGCCATGTTGGATCGGAAAGGCGATTCTTTCATAGTATCCCTGCTTGAAGAAGCCAGTAAGAGACGACAGACGAACTGATTTGAAGTTTATATAGGATTCTCCTTCCTAAGTTTTGAAATGATATCATAATTCAGGAGCACTCTATGTAACTTCAATACAGACTGTTGTTTCAGTCTAGGTTTCTCGGTTAAACCATCAAATATTTATCCACACGTTTAACGCTTTTCTATCTGTCAATTCAACCAAGTTACGTTCGACGTTAATACGAGAATCGGATTTAGTTCTATCCGAGGAAAAAAATATTCTTGTATATTTATATCAAAAATATACTTAATAGAAATGTCGTAGAAATCTTGTATCTTATCAATTGAGAATCTGAAATTTAGATCGACGAATGAATCATTTTTTCACAGTGAAAACAAAATAGTGAATGATATAACTTATTTAAAAATATTTAAAGATATGCATATATCTATACAAAATCTGATATTGTAAACATCAAAACTATGATTGTGTCGATTTTCTTTTGTGTGATTCTATCGAACTTTTTGAGCAGGAACACCGTAGATTTTCATGTAAATATACAGCGATTATATAATACATTGTACTAAAGTCAGATGGGCCGAACGATTTTGAGCGACAGCTTCAAGCAATAATTATTTATCGTAAAAACTTTATGCGTTATTTTCGATTTTTAATCTGGAAAAATCACCGAACTTCAGCTATTGCGAGACGCCACGTTGGAAAGAAGTGGGATTTCATGTTTCTCACACTGAGAAAAATATCTGGTTGAAAATAGACGAATCAGAAGATTCTAATTACATCAATCAGAATTCCAATTTATATCTTAACTAGAATTCTAGATTTAAGAAAATTCTGATTCGTCTATTTTTAACCAGAATTAATTCAACCAGACATTTTTCTCAGCATCTTTTGGTGCCAAAGATTCTAAGAATTCTAAGGAAATATCACACATAAAGATTGAAAACACCGCAAAGGATCCAGTATGTGTATATATTTGCGGAATAAACTACGTTGTTGCTTCCAAATAGATATGTATCTTTTGCGCGATAGATGCTTCTTAGGGTAAAACTTTCAGACAAATACTTTGCGAGTCGTATGTGCGATGTCACTGCTTAATTTAGGAAGGACGACAATAATTTGAGGTTCTCGTAGAGCCGAATGTGTTTTACATCGTGGAAGAACATCTGAATTCTAACTTATGCTATAAAATAAGCCAGAAATGATCCTTCTTATAATATATAATCAATCGAGAGACATTTTTTGGGACAGGCCGAAAACAGAAGATGGAAAGTAAATTGGGAAGAAAAGGAACAAAACTTTTCTTGCTCTTATGAAATTTTTATGATTTTTTAGTCATAATATTCGTTGAATGATATTTTTGGGATTCGGTATGATTTGGAATTCAGATCCTCGAATTATAATCCTACCAGTTCGCCGAGCTGATGAGTAGCATGCGCTACTCCAGCTTGAGTTCATCATTTGCAGATGATATAACTTCGGTTCGAATCACGCAGCCTTCAAGTATACGAACTCATCACTTTAACCGTGAATGAGTTTACGATATAAATATACACACAAATATATACATATATAGTATATGAATGCACATATCTGAAACACCTGATAGGATTTCTATGCTTCCATAAAGGAACGGCGATGCGAATGATTTATACGTCGATGATATGATCATACTCTACGGTGATAATCACCTGTGAGGACCTTATTGTTAAAAATCGCGCACGTAGTATGTAGGAATTCGTTGTGTTTTTGTGTTGCATAGATCATGTTAATGTGTAACTGTACATAGATAATAGCCATATTAGAAATAAATGTTGTTAAGAAAGAGCTCGTATAGCCTCGTATCTACTCCGCAGTTTTAAAAGCTCAGCAACCCGATTTTTTCACAAGAATTAATTTATTAATTGCAAAAGGAAAAAAGAAAGCTAGAAATTTTTTAATCACTAACTGATATATCTATTATAAATTGAAATTTTTTTAGAGTAGAGAATTGATATATTAAATTTTAATTATTAGATAATCATTAAATTTATTAACAATATAACTAACAATATATCTAAGTAAAATCTTTGATTTTTGTATAAAATTTATTTTTATTTTTATATTCTCTATATGATAATAAGATGAATATAAATTTTAGTGTTTATTTTATTCATAGTTACATTTATTAGGTTGCTATTATTATTTATCAAACCTTTTCGTGCCAAATCACCAAAGTTTTCACGTAGAAATTAATAATTTGCTAATTAAAATAAATTACAAAAAGGAAATCAAATTTTAATCGCTAATATTATATTTATATAATTATATTATTATATAATTATATATTTTAAATTTTGTACAAGACAGAGTTAATAATTCTTATTTACATATTTTAAATTAAAAAATAAAAGTCTTTAAGTATGTTATGTTACATAAAATCTTTGATTTGTATAAATTTTATGTTTTTACATTTCCAATCTAACAATAATGAGCCTTCTACAATAAGCCATTAGTTATAAATCAGAAGTCAAAAGTTAAAAATTGACCAATCATAGTTGTCAATTTTTAGCTTCTGATTTCTGATTTATGATTATTATACACTGTTAGAAATGTTCTTAAATTTTATTAACTTTTAAGTTACATAATTTGAATTTAATTTTATGACATTACATTAAATTTAATATAATTAACTAAAAAGTATATTTGTGTATATAAAATTTAATGTATTTTTCATGAAAATTTATAAAATTTAATGTACTCTTCATAAAATTTTTTATTAAAAATACATTTTAATTTTACAAATTTAATGTACACGTTAATTTTATTTAAGTAATTACTGTAATTTAATTTTCAGTTAAATCATTCATTACTTTAAATTTCGTTCATAACCACGAGCTTCATTTATATGTAAAGAAAGCTCATGGTTATATTTCTAGAAGGCCCATAAGATATCAATTTTTAGCTTCATTTTAGTTACCTTCATTTTAGTTACCTTCATCTTAGTTACCTTCATTAGGTAATATCAAATTTTTTCGCGCCGAACCACTCGTAGTTTTACCGGACGCCGCCACGCGCCGCCACTGACAGGCGCGTTTTCAATATGGCCGCCAGCGCTCAGCCAGTTCACCGTCAGAACGGAACCGATCGATCTTCCCACTGTATCGAAGAACGTATGTTACTTTCCGCTTCCTGGGGAACCGATTTGTGACTCTGAGATACGCTGATCTTTTTCATACAGTCGACGAAAATCGTCATCTTCCTCCAATTGCACGCTGCAAAACCATCGAGATGAGCAACGTACCAACAGGTGAGATCATTATCTTTGTCACCCACTCATACTGAGGATCGAGGAATTGTGTACTATTTTACGATCAAAGCGAGACACGTCGTTAATTTTTGTTCGAGAATTAGCTGGCAAAAGTTAGTTCAAGGATTGCAATAACCGAAATTCGGCCGATCGAATTCTAACCTATGGTTATGTGCCACCCGCTATCTTGACGTTTCCACGCAACGACCTTGTGAACTCTCGTCCGTGCCTCTGTATGCGTGTGTAATGTTTTTACGGATGTGTACGGATGTGTGCGACCGGCGACTCACCACAAATTCCTGAGTCGGTATTGTATTTGTGTTTTTTTTTGTGCTGCACTCATTAACATCTCGTATTTAAAACGAAGTTTTTGTCGTAAAATGGCTAACGAAGCTACTTCAATAATAATGGATTTTTTCCCGAACTTTTTGGTAAAATACGATATATAGATACAAGTTGCCTATGTATATTTAATGAACGTTTAAAAAACGTAAATTAGTTTTTATATGATGTGAGTATAAATGTCTCGTGTAAAAACGGTTTTTCAAACTAGTAAAAAATATTAAACAGACATTATAAATGTTTTATCAAATGTTTCTTTTAACGTTTATTAAATAATGTTTTCAATATCCATTATATCCAATTTTAAATATTTATTTTTCGCTTAAACGGTTAAAATTAATATTTAATTTACACATTGATTATACATATTTTGTTGCTTGGGGTGAAACTGATAACCGCTGACAAATAAAATATCACTAATTATAATATTGTCATAAAAATTCTGCATGATGATTTTTTACAGAAATAGGGAGAAAAAAAATATGTAGGAAGCAGTTGACACGAATTGTAGATAACTGTAATGCGGGTGCAGCTGCACTGACGAAGGTCAACTCTCTACACTTCGTTCTTTATTTATTTCGCTGAGAGAATTGAACTCAATCTGTGTTTCTTGATTATATTCTTAATTAACATCTTACGAAACCTTATATATTACAAAAGTAGGTTTTTCTAAACTACAAATGGAATATATGCATTATTTAATAATTTTTGAAAGCTGATAGTCTACGAGGAAGGATATTGAAGATGTATCAGGCATAGTTTCTGCAAAAAATCACTGGATTTGGAAATTTATACAAGGTTAATATTAAATTATTTAAAGGCTCCAATATTTAACAAATAAATTAAAAAGAAAAAGCCAATGAGAGCACTAGATGGTTTTTGTGAAAATAATTGTCATATATTTAAAAAATACATAAATAAGATTACAGACGTTTCGACATAACTTTTTACTGTTGATAATCCTATTTTATTTTATTGGAATGCTTTTATATATTGATCGAAATTATGTTGAAAAAGACACAATTATGATATCGAAACGTCTGTAACCTTATTTAAATATGTATTTTTTAAATATATATGACAATTATTTCCACAAAAACCATCTACTCTCATCGGCTTTTTCTTCTTAATTAATTTATTTTATACAGGGTGTTTCAAAATTCGCTCCCGAAATCAAACAACTTTTTCCTTTCAACAAACAAAATTGCGTCCGATAAGTAGTTTTTGCGCTTATTTGTTAATCTCAACCTACTCTCCTGCAAAAACTACTTATCACCTTGAATAAAATAAATTAATTTCTATACTTAATTTATTTACATACTTTCCGTATATAAATGAATATTATGTATGAAATAAGTTCAACAAGGTCTATATTTATATTTAGTTAAATAGTTTTTGTTTAAATGAAAATTGTCTTATTTTATCCTAATTATTAAAAAAAATGTCTATTTATTGAAATAATTTTTAATCTAAATTTTAAACCGCTGCCAAACATTTTTGTATTGCTTTCAAATACTATGTAGAAAAATTTGTAATTTTTCTATAATATTATATCTTTATTTTGTTAAAAGATACTTTTAATACATTCTTAAAGATGAAGATGAATGAATAAAAGTAAGCAAATAGTAAGTAACAGTGAGAAGTTCATTCAAAGCTTTTCTAGCTTAAAATAATGAGAAATTAGGTAAATATACTACACAAGAAGTTTAATTGAACGTTTTAAAAGAGAGAATTTTCTACTAAATGTTCGACAAATTTCCTAAAATGTCTAATCAATTTCTCAAAAATCTTATATTTTTTTCTATTCCAATTTAATATTTAAATTCAATGCGATTCAAACCTTTAGCCATTCTTAGCGATAAACATGTCATTAATTGTAAGTTAGTATAGATGAGAATCTGCCGTCGAATCGAATCGATAAAACCGGTTTGCCGAAGGTTTCCGTGAAGTTCCAAGAACTTTTATTATACATCTTCGCCATGCTTCCGCGCTTTCATCATCGATCGCAAAAACAAGCGGAGCACTTCACCAAGAAGGTCGATGAACCAATCAGGACGCTGAATCGGGCCTAGTTTCAGTCTTTTCTCTCTTTCTCTTTAAAACTATCTTTAACCTACTTTTTCTGTTTTATGCCTGCTGCAGTAACTTAAATAAAACCAACGGGACACAGCACACAGCAAAAGGATTAAATCGTGAATGTCAGAAGTATTTCTTCTCAAGACAATTTTAAGACACCCTGTAGAGAACAGATTGGGCGCAATTATTAGCAACAATTAGCGGGAATCTCTTAATTAGCGTGTTAAGTTTTAAACAAATCTTGCTCAGTACAGTTGCACACAAACATTATAGAGAAACTCAAATCGAACAATAATTACTATATTATACTAACTTAAAACTAAATGCAAATAGTGTCAGTAACATTAATGATAATTTACATTGCTATGTTAAGTTGCATATTCAATAAAATATTTGACGGTTTCTAAATTAGGATGAAAGTACAAAAAATTTCAAAATATTATTGGAAGCATCAGGGAAAAATTGTTAGAATTGTTAGGATGAGGAATTTAACAACCTTCTATTTTTTATTATGAATCTTTAATCTACAGAATCACGTCAAGTTCTATTTCTCGATGAAGAACCAAGGTTACCTGTCCGTTCCCTCCTTTCCTTTCGTCTTGTTCTCCCTCTCTTCCTGTCCCTTCTTCTCATCCGCTCACTTCTTATTATCTATAAGGTAGAGCGAGAACACCGTTTCGATTTCTCTTAACGTGGAGTTGTGGCGGCGTCTTTACAATCGGCATCATGTCGTTCTGAGGACACAGCTGTTAGTCGTGTGTGCACTGTGCACACGTTAGTACACATGGTCGTGTTCAATTGTGTTGAATCATCACGAATGCATGGATTACATAGTCATTAAATCATGCATCGCGACGTAGATCTGAAAATCGATCCCGTTGGAAGGAAATTTGATCGCGTAAACTTTTAATTTATTGTTTTTGAATTCTGCATGATTTGCATGTGATAAATATTTTTGGTTCTTAGTGAAATGTGATTATATGTAATAAAAAATTCATTGTGATAAATAGCAAATCTCTCAATTTTTGGAACATTTCTTTATAATTTTTAATTCTCAATTATATAATTTTTAACTCTAATTTATATAACTGTCTGTTACTTATTTATCTTTAATTCTGAGT